GAGACCACTGAAAATGCTTTAACCGGCACACTTACAGTACAGCTGAAAGCTTTCCCACGGACTGGTGCATAACATATACACATACCATACTCTTCTACAAAATAATTCAATCGTAGTTTTACCAGCAGACTGTCATGAAAAATTGATCGCAAAACAGGACAGCTAAAGCTTGGAAATTCCATCTATGGCGTGGACAAACTTTCCAGCGACTGGCAAATTTGTTTGAACAGCCTGGTGTGTCGGGGCTTCCTCATTCATTCTTATCACCTGAACGCCCCCTCAAAGAAATTCCTTAGAGTAATAGGAAAATAAATCCTCATTGAATGGGGTACTCCATTGGGACAAACATGAACGGCCCGTCAGGTCTGACAGACATTGCTCAGGAAGTGTTGTCGTTTTCAGATATTCCAAATGGTTGTGATAGAAGTTATTCATTATTTGACCAGTGCATTTGAAACAATCCATAGCCTTGTACGACTGAACTGGGGGCACAAGTTAAAGCGTCAAAAGGGCAAGTGCAGAAACAATCAGTTGAGTTCATTTTGTTCTATATAAACCGTGTACCAAGGGCCTGTTAGATTCAGATGCCACCATTTTTGTCATTGTAAGACGGAAGAGAGCGGGATATCTGGCCGAGCATTGGAGGCAATGATTTGATCAGTTGGTTCCTACTGCTTATTGCTACGAGAGAAAGGGATGCTGAACGGATACGCATTGAATAAAATAGCTTCACAGCAGGAACAACAGTGGTCGCGTGAATACACCGTACCTGTCATTATCATAAACCATTGAAGAGCTGAGCCTCGTAGCCCCATTCAGGGAGCCGTCAGTCCTCAACGAGATTGGTTTTATCGGTTGGAGCTTCCATACTCAGCCGCTAGGTCATGGGCTATCTACGTATTGAATGTGTGGGCACATATCAGTAAGGATTAATTATCGTGCTGCTCAGCAGGACTAAAAAGAGATGAAAATTTCAAAGCGAACATCAGTAGATGTGTCGACAAACGAATGATTCAGAATGGCCGCAAATGACCATGGAGTCTCGTCCGACGAACTTCTGTGACCATAGATGTGATGTACAGTGATATTCAGGTTCACCCTCCAGCTTCACTGGAGCACGCATACAGTTGCTAGCTGCCTATGTGAATAGGAACCAAATTCCTTTCAGTGTTAAAACCGAGAGATAGCTTGTTCGGGGACATTTAAGAAGCGTTAACTTGATAGTGACAGGCTTAACATGGAACAACATTGAACAACAAGTTTACTAACAACTATACTCCTCGTAGGACTGATAAGAATCGTGCCGGCTTACACGTTACTCGTCCTATTTTTCGACCCACTTATGTTCTGGACGTAGGAGTTTGTGTGCCAGGTTTTAGTAAAGTAAAAGTACATATTGTGCAGAAATTAGAAGATCCTCGGAATGATGCCGAAATAATAACGCCTGCATTAATTAGCAGTGAGGTAGAAGCGTCCGGTCATACTAACCGCTAAAGACTAAGGACGACTGACCGCCCTGGAATAAACACAGATCCTGTAATCACTTCTGTCTGAAGGTTAAAAACAAATTAAACTTACAATGACTTATTACATCGTTTAAAACTAGCGCTTTAGTAATCGGAAACTAAACGGAATCATATATTAAAGTTCATTTCTTGCGCCATGAAAGTTTATATCCGTTTGTTCGTGAAACAGTGCGACGAAACTGCAAAAGGTAATTCAAAATAAAGTGCAATACCTGTGATCGTGTTTGTCGGGTTTGTTGGGTTTATTCAGAAATGCTATTTTGGAAACGTCGGCATATGGTTCTCTGGGACAGCAAAGAACTTCAGTGTTTCGTTGAATCTTGTGATGAAGACAAAGCAGTCCTAGTATAGCAGGTTTCGAACCTGGTGGACACAGTCGCGATGTAAAGCGAATAATTTTTTCTACCAAAGAACAACTGAAGGATATCTCCAAATGATCAGTCATTGGGCCAACTGCCGATTCTAGCTACTTTAGGCAATGCACTTGATTGGTTGCAGTGACAAAACGATGACATGGTTTTTCATTGAGTTTTAGAATGAGGAATCGAAAGTTGAACATTCCCCAATGATCGTAATTGGGCGCTTTCTCCCCATCTAACAGTCCACAACTCTTCACCGCATAGTCACATGACCGTCTCTATTCGTCTGCTAGGTTTCTACAAGAACTCAAGGCGTCCCTACATAAGTACAACATTTGGTCGAAATAATTCCTTACGTGGCTCTTAAATGAGCTGCTAAGGGCACAGTTTGTTCATGCGGAATTCTCAGGTTAGATCCTCGTCGGCTATTTCGCCACCCCCCCCCCTCCCGATAGCGGGTATTATAGAGAGGTTCAATTTCGAAACCGAGAGATCAATCACAGAGCTGTGA